GTGGTGCTGGAGAAGAGTGCTGAGGATCCCATGGACAGCCAAAAGGGTAAACAAATGAGTTCTAGAACAGATCAAGCCAGAGATATCCCTAGAAGCCAAGATGACAAGACTTAGACTGTCGTACTTTGGACACATCATGAGAACGAATCATTGGAAAAGACAATAATGTTAGGAAAGGTAGAAGGAAGTAGAAAGAGAGGAAAGCTACATGTTGGATGGATGGACTTTATTAAAGAGACCATGAATATGAGTTAAGGAGCTGGGCAGAGCAGTAGAGGACAGAGGGGCCTGGAGATGTCTCATCCATAGGGTTGCCATGGGTCAAGACAAATGTAAATATTTGAGGGGGTGTTATACTGAAGATGGAGCAAGTTGGTTTTTTGCATCTCCAGAGGCTAGGACATAGAGCAATGGATTCAGATAACAGGAAAAGAAATTCCACCTCAACCTTAGAAAGAACTTCCAGACAATAAGAGCTGTTTGACAGTAGAACACACTCCTTTGGAATGTGGTGGAGTCTCCTCCTCGGGAGGTTTTTAAACAGAGGCTGGATAGTGATCTGTCGGGGGAACATTAATTGTTCCCCCGACAGATCACAATTGATCTGTTGGGGGAGCAGGGGGTTGCACTTGATGGTCTTTGATGTCTCTTTCAACTCTGATTCTATTATTCATATCTGTAAAATGATTGCCTTAAGGATTGCTAAGATCATGGATATTATGCAATGAGACATGTTGGTGCAGTCCACCTGGACACAACTGTCACCTAGGAGCCCTGGTGGCGCAGTGGTTAAATGCCTGTACTGCAGCCACTCACTCACAAACCACAAGGTTGCTAGTTCAATACCAGCCAGGGGCTCAGGGTCGACTCAGCCTTGCATCCTTCCGAGGTCACTAAAATAAGCACCCAGCTTGTTGGGGGCAATTGGCTTACATATTGTAAACTGCTTAGGGAATGCTTAAGTGCACTGATAAGCGGTATAGAAATGTACTTGCTATTGCTATTATCAGCCTCTTAATATCAAAAGAGCTGCATCGGCTGGCTGGCAGTTCCATCGAAGTAAATTCTACTAATTTCTTGGATTACATGAGGTCCATGACATTTTTAGGAAATAATATAAATATGGATGTGCCAAAAAGTGTGTATAAAGAGGGAGAAAAAGAGGGCTGTTCCAACGGTGAAATAAGGGCAGGGGAGATAAAGCAGAGACCTGGCTTTTTCCAGTATCTCACTGCTATACTTCTTAATTGTTTATATATTTTCATACCTGGTGAATAATGATAATAAAATTAAACCTGGTGAGCTAATAATAGAATGCTTTTTGGAGTTATATTTTTAGCAGAGCAATCCAACAAATATGGGGGGGGATATCTTGCAAAAATATTGGACTTCTCCTTATGTAGCCTATAGATTATGTCAAAAGATGCCTTGGTATATACAGTTATATTTACATAATCACAGTTCTGTGAGGGTGACTGAAACAGAAGAAGAAAAATATTCACTATTCCCAGAATATTGAGGTTCAGTAATGCAATCCAAAACTGCAATAACAAAGTAGTCAAAAATGGCCAAAGTCATGCTAGTATTTTTACAGAATGTGTAATATCTGTGCCATTAATTCTAGCCTGATTTCTTTCCCATTAACTGTGCTTTTGTGCATTGCTTATAAATCTCTTTTCATCTATTTATATAACTTTTTGAAAGCAAGCCTAACATAGTATAAGGCAGAATGAAAGAAAGTCAGTAAAGGTCAAAGAGACAATCAAATTATTACAGATTTCTCAGTGAACACTAATGGACCTTTGTAATGTGATTAGTTGTGAATATCTGTGCCCTCATTTACAAGGGTAAAAGTATTCTAGTAAAAGTATAGTATATTCTTTGCTCAATTTGGATTGATTTAACCAAAGTGTGCTTTTCATGGTCTGATGTCTAACTCCCATGTTAAAGTTTCAG